ATCCAATTAAAAAAATTATTTTCATATCGGGTCACAGATTTGAAACCCAAACTAACTTCCTTTGCCTCTTTAAGCTAATGGCATGTTGTTTAACCTTCACAAATTAATGGAATTGTGAGCTAATGAGAGTTTACACTATTGATTGCCTTTGACATATTTGTTTTTGTCGCACTCATTTTAAAAACTTCTCACTTGTAAGTTTGACATGATTGATGTAGAATCCACTTTCCCTGTATAATGCTTTTCTTCATATACAGCTCCACTGTATGGAATCTATTAACAAGGCGATAATTAAATGTAAACATTAGTCACAGGCTTGTCTTTCTCTGAAATGAAATACATATAAAACAACAAGGAAATATGAAAAACAGTGGAGGGATCAACTACTCCTTCCCTCTGGTGTAACTAAGAGTTTCAGGAAGAATCCATCACAAAGCATGTCTTAGGCAATCATGCCATCTTCTTTATGGGAATCGACCCAAGATGGAACTCCATAAGAGGTCATTGGTTGATCAGAGCCTGAGTAAACCAAACAAAGGTCCCAGAAGAGAACACAACAGCAAAAAGGGAGGATCATTGCTTCCTATAGTGGATGGCTAGAGACCCAAAGAATCCAGACCTTTAGAACAAACTTAGAAAATATCCAGTCCAACCTGAGTGTCTGATATTCCTACTAAACCAAGTATGCTATGTTGAACAGTCCCAAAAAAGCCCATTCATCTATAGGAAAATATAAAACATATTGCAGTATGTGTGTGTGTGTGTGTGTGTGTGTGTGTGTGTGTAGCAGTATTTTACCCAGAAAGAAATAAAGGGAAAAAAGATGGGTTTCTTCTTCCATAATTTATGTTTTGCAATTAAAGGGAAATTTCTAACTAGTGATACATTATCTCCTTCCCAAATATCAGTATGTTCAGAGCCACATGACATATTGCAATTTTTCCCAAATATCTGTGTATCCTAAGCACACGGTGTTAAGACTGATCCAAAGACTTGATTTATGTTGCTGCCTGACATGTGATGTCTGGAAGGCATGCTGTCTAAATGGACTGCACTCAGGCAGTTACCTTAGTCATCAATTCTCAGAGAATTAATGACTACCATCCATCCTAATAATAGAAACCAAGGTCAGGGCCTCTTCCAAGCTCTGTAATTCCATTAGCAATGCACAGAAAGCACTTAGGTCATAAGCTCTCTAGACCTTATAACTGGGCAAATGGAACTGCATCTTGTTTTCAGAGAATCCTCTTTGAGCACACCCCTTGTCAATGATTTGTTGTACATCAATATTCAATGTACTTACATATGTAGGGAGAATACTAGTAAAGGAAAATGAGGCTATCTTCACCTGCCAAGAGTTTTAAGTACTGTTTTTATTAAAGTAAATGCCAATAGAAAACAATTTTATTAAAACTATATCAGGTATTTCCAATTACTGGATATACATTTTTAAATTGTGTACTCAGATTTTATATGAGCACTCAATCATTCTATGTGGTTACCAGAGAATTTATTTTGGTTTTTATTTTTTTATTTTGGGTTTTATTCTTTTATTTTAGTTTTTATTCAACCTACCTAATAAAGTCAAAATGGCCTTGAAACTAAGTTATCATCATAACAAATAATTGTTTATAATAAAACTTTCATCTTAAATTCTCAAGCAGCATGCTTTTCTAAGCTAAATCTCACCTATAATTTCCTCACTCATAATTCAAACTGTTTTCAACCTGCCACATATCAAAAAAAGAAGAGAGTAACCCCAAGATTTGAAGCCATGGGTATAGGTTCAAATTCTGGCTTTGATGCTTATTTGTTTTCTTAACAAAATAAGTACGATTATTATACTTTTACAAGTATTTCACACTGTTGCTGTAAGAATTTAAAATCAGTGCCTAGCACAATGCCTGTAAATTAACAAATGATAACTAGTTTTTACTGTTGTTGAGCACATAAGTGTGTGATTGTGTGTGTGTGTGTGAAATCTTTGTTTTGAAACATTTGGGGTTTTATGCCCAGTAGATTCTAAGTGATCTACAATAATGAAGGGGAACAGAGACATAAATAATTCAAAATAGCAAATCATCCAAGTACCACTTTTATGTGTTTTAAAAAGTATTTTCAAATTTTATTTCAAATGCGAGTGTTTCTACTACCCAAAGAAATGACTTTAAATAAAAGAGAGACACAATGATGTGAAATTCTAACTAAAAGGGATCTGAAGAACTGTGCAATTTTCCTATCCCCTCCTCTCCTCTCTCTTTCTCTTATTCCTCTCCCCTCCCCACCTCCTCACAGCCGCCTGTCAAAAGACAGCTGCCACAAAGAACCCACTTCAAGCAAAGTTCTTGCCTCTCACTGTCCCCTGGATCGGGGCCACTGGTGGAGTGTTTATGACTTATTACTTAAGGGTAAGAGGCAGTCACCAAATAAAAGCTCCGGGTGCTCATGAAGCAAGTTCTCTATTGGAAGGAGAAAACAGTAAAGTCGATAGAGGCAGTGTGGTAACTTGGTTAAGAGCAAAGGCTATGGCATCTGACAGACTGGGATTCTAAATCCCGGTTGGCCTATGTGACCTTGAGCACATTGCTAACCACATTATGCCTCGGTTTCTTCCACTGCAAACATGCAATGATAATGCCTTTGGGTATCTTGCATGATTTGTTAAGGTTTAAATTATATATATTTCAATATAGTCATAATTGTGTGTGTGTGTGCACACACGCATAGATCTGTATTATGCTGATTTCCCTTTGAATAATAAACTTTTACTTACAAATTGGTGGTTTTCTACAGAGACCTACAACATCTTTTTATGAAACTGGAGGAAAATGAACAGGATTCTTGGCCTCATCTAGTGTCTATATAATCCCAAAACACATCTGTCTGTCCCAAATGAAGTATCCTGGTTGATACTTCAAGGATTGCTCTGTAGTAAGCAAAGTGTTCCTTTAGTTTTAGCGGTATTATGGGTTTATGGCAGGTAGAAAGAATTTTAGCTGGTATCTACACATAAGCACACACATATCAATAGCGATATTAGAAACAAAAAGTAATAGTAATAAAAAGAATGAAAGAAAAGTTAATTCTTAGAGATCAGTTTGTGTATGCCAGGCACTGTTCTAGTCACTTTACATGTGATAATTTCTCTAATTCTCAGAACCATCCTATGAGGTCAATGATAATATCCAAATTTTACTGTTGAAAAGAGAAACTCAGAAGGTCAGGTAACTTTCTAAAGGTCACAGAATAGAGAGCAATATATATATATATTATGGCCATGGAAGCCATATCATTTATTGACGGTTCCAGGGCACTATTGACCATGAAAGTGGACAAATACAGGAATGAAAGTTTATTCTCTTTATGTTTGAAGACCAAGCAACTTTAATACCTACGTCATTTTTTAAAATATGTAAATGATTGAGTTCCTGTTATATTTCTACTTGAAAAATGTATTATCCTAAAACTCTAAGATGATTATTAATATGCTTTAAGTAAGGTGTTCTTAACTAATGCCATTACTGCCTGTGGTAAATAAAAATGTGTTTGAGCTTCCAACATGACGAGTTTCACTTTGGAGACACAGGCTCAGCCAGTATTTTCATATGCTGCCTATAACCTTTCACAATAGAAATATGATCAAGTTGCTGGTTCATTAACTTACTGATTGTCCTTCCTTACCATGGTTATTAGCTAATGTTCTGCCTTTCACTGTAACACATATACAAGATTGAGGGTTCAAGGAACAGGCATCCCTGGAGCATAATGAATGGTGGAGTGTCTCTTTGCCTCTTTATGCAGATTAAATCAATATCTGACTTCCATGGGGAGAGCAACAGGACAGAGTCATTGACAGGTGATATCCTGACCAGGGCTTCCTGTGTTGAAAGGATAAAGTAAAAGGGGCAGGTTTCTAGATTGTAAGCTCCCTGGGGGAGGTTACAGTGGCACCATGTACTAGTGATATCTGACCCCAACGGCTATCCAGGTAGGCACTCAAAAATTTACATTGAGCAAAAGTCAACCTGCTAGAAAATCTGTATCTTCATGTACTCTCCTCAAACATTTAAATAATAAAAGTAAAATAAATTTTTGTTGTTTTACAGAGACATCTGTTATGCTTCATTAATTCTAATATACATTTTTATATTTAATATCTTAAAAAATTAGAGAACATCTTAGAGTCAATGGAGTTTTATTATTTAATTGGCCAAGTTGGGTTTTTTCCTCTCTTGTGGTATATAAAATAAAGATATGTCGTATCATCAGTGGCATCTTAGATTTGATGAAATATATACCAGATATTAGCAACATCTCAGCCCCACTTAATAAATTAAATCAGGAAAAAGAGAGAGGTAAGATTTGAAAACTGCATGAATCTTTAAACTGAAGCTTAGTAGATGAGTGGGAAGTTGGTGGAAACTTCTTCACCAGCCAGCTACAGCCCATATTAATATATATATATTTATTTCTGTTCCTGTTCTCTCCTCTATGTAAAATATAAAAGGGTGGAAATTAAATTCCTGGCATTTATTGTATCTTTCTGAAACTGTGTATCATTGTCTCTAGAGTATGAGCTTGGACACAGAGAGTGATGCTATGGTTCTCAAAATTTTGTATATATTGGAATCTCCTCAGGAGCTTCTTAAAATTCCATGATCCTCACCTCCTGCCTAGACATTCTGATTCACGAGGTCTGGGGTAAGGCCCAGAGTTGTGTTTTTAATCTTATGGTGATTATGATACACCCCAAAGTTTGAGAACCCCTGGTCCATGTGTTTAGAATTGGCCTGTCACTACAAAGGACTCGACTTTAGGAACTCTGGTCTCAGTAGTATGCATAGGACCATATTTGATAGGAGTGATTGTGATTTCAAAAGGCAAATATACTGATGAAAGAAGGAATTCTGACATTGCATTGTTTCCTGTGGGTCTGGGACTCAAAACTAGAGCATATATTGGTAATGTCCCTGATATCTGTTTCTGTTGGGGTTTTTTAGCTGTGCCCCATAAAATTGGACGCATCATTGATGGGAGTCCTGCAGATCGCTGTGCAAAACTAAAAGTGGGAGACCGGATCTTGGCAGTGAATGGCCAGTCTATCATCAACATGCCTCACGCAGACATCGTGAAGCTCATCAAGGATGCAGGCCTCAGTGTCACCCTTCGCATCATTCCTCAGGAGGGTGAGTGCCGGAGCCAGGTCATGGAGTTCACCTGGCTGCCCTGGTGTGGTGTCAGAGTGTCAGAAATTGGTAGTTATTTCCACTTTTGCAAACATTCACATTCTGTTGCAACTCATATTCTGTTTACTCAGTACCAATTTCATTCAGAAATCAAGCTGTATGACATTATAGATAAGTAGTGTGAATTCCATGACACTGGATTATTCAATTATTCCCTGTGGTCCCAGGAGTTCTATTTTTATGGTTACATTAAGCCAGAACCTATTCAACAGAGATGATAGTTACAAATCTGAAGAAGAGGGAAAAAAACACATATTCATGTTATAGGTAAGCTCTGGAGGATTCTTCAAAGTCAGATTGATTTTGAAAAGCTTGAGGAAGTTTTGTGGTATAAAGGGAGCTCATTTAGAAAATGTTACATCTGATAAGAATTTTAAATTCCCACTTAGCCTTTTGAATTCCTCTGTACAAGGACTCCACCCTGAGGCTTGAAGGGTGGTGAGCATCACAATTCACAGCCAGGCCTTAAGGGGCCATGAAGTTCTATGAACCTATTCACCATAAATTCACCATTTCTAGACACAGTGGGTTCATTACTGGTTTGTAGCTGCTGACTCATTAATGATATTTGAGAATTCAGTCCCTGAAGCTCACTGGTGAGTGGACCGCAGAGTACCACATGGAGAGTAATAGGCTCACTCAGCTTGGTTGCTGTTTTTCTTAGACTCCTGATTGCATCTTGGGACTCTGACAAATAGGCACCTAACAGCCACCTGACTTTATATATAAAACACTGTTTCTCAACTGAGGTGATTTTGTTCCCCAACCCCAGGGGCTTTTAGCAATGTCTAGAGACATTTTTGATTGTCATAATTGGAGTAGGATGCTACTGGCATCTGGTGGGTAGAAGGAAGGAATGCTGTTAAAAATCATACAGTGCACGGGACAGTCCTCACAGCAAAGAATTATCTGACCCAAAACATCAATAATGCCAAGGTTGAGAAACCCTGATGCAAGTAGAAAAGAAATTTAAAATTTCAGGCTGTGAGAAAAGAAAGAAGAGTGATTTATAAGAAAATGCTAATAGATCACCTCCTTTTCATCACCTAACTAAAAATTTAAAAAAAGAACATCACCATGGTTTTTTTAACTTGTCATCTGCAGCCACCACTATGTATAAAATATGCAATGGGAATTTACTCTAAGCAAGACTGCCCACTAAAAGTCTGACTTGCTTCTACATTTGCCCAGTCTAAAATGTCTGTCTTGCTCTTATTCCAACAAAGAGTTGAAAATCTGATGCTATTACAATAAATTCCAAGAAATGGTTTTAACAACAGCAAATTAATTCACCTTCTCCCATCCAATGTTTTGGGCTTTTTTGGTTTTTTGTTTGTTTGCTTTTTTCCTGGAGAACCATGGAATACAGAGGGTTATTAAGCAATAAGAGTAACAAGCAACTGGAGAGAAGACCGTAGAAAGCATTTACTTGTTTTATGGTTAGTTCCTTATGCCAACTTCAGAATACTGGTTAACACTTCTCATTACAACCAAAAAATAGAGACTAAACATTTTCTCTCAGTAAGTAATGCTGGAAAAACAGAATATGTTTTATAGCTTACTCCTTTGAATTATTTTTTTCATAGTTTTAACAGGTTTTTTTTTTAATTGTAATCTTTTCTTCTGACAAAATGACAAGAGACTGTTCATAACCTTGTTCAGCGACACAACTGAAGAAAGAATACTAATTCTGAGTGGTGTTGGAACTTGATAAATTTAAGCTGCTGTCTTAAAGCCTAACAGAAACTGAAACAACCAAAGCCACGAGTCATCTGAAGAGGCAAGGATTAACCACCTCTGGCCACCTCTTGCCCTTTATCAATGTCAACCTGACTGCATTTGCCACTTTGGTTCCCCACTACAGAGCTCAACAGCCCAGCCTCGGCGCCCAGCTCAGAGAAACAGAGCCCCATGGCACAGCAGCACAGCCCCCTGGCCCAGCAGAGTCCTCTGGCCCAGCCAAGCCCAGCCACCCCTAACAGTCCTGTCACCCAGCCAGCTCCTCCTCAACCACTTCAGCTGCAAGGACATGAAAATAGGTAAAGTTTTCTCTGGCTTTGATTCTGAGAGATGAAGCAGGCAGAGAGAGGAAGAGTTTGGGATAGGACAGGCCACAGGGCAGGAGAGAGATTTTCATGAAGTAGAAATTGCCCTGTGCACCTTTGTGTAATTTCTAGATTGTGTATATGTTATCAATGTGGCTTTATTAGTAAATACAAGTGTCTAACCTGCACAAGAAGAGAACTTTTCCTGAGGGAATGATGTGTGATTGCAGATGAGTAGGGGTTAACTAGCTGAAAAGCACATTAAAGAGAGTCCAAGCAGAGTGGAGAACATACACAAAGGCCATTTGAGGGGAGGGAGCATGCCAGCAGATGGAGGGAAATAAGGCCAATGGTGGCGGGGAAGGGGCGGGCAGCGTGCAGAGGGAGGGAATAGTGTGTTTTTGAGATGAAGCCAGTGAAGGCGGTAGGAGCCCACCCTGCAGGGTCTTATAGGCATTTTAAAGATTTTGGTCTTAAGTGTAGCGAGAAGGCATTAGAAGGTGTTAAGCTGAGGACTGACATCACTGGATTTGCTTTTCAAGATCCCTCAGTCAGCCCCACAGAGAACAGACTGAAGGTCAGTCAGAGCGAATTCAAGCTAAGCCATCAGAGAGGGCTGCCAGCGTCCATTGAGCCATAAAGGTGGTTGCTTGGAGGATAATGGTGGTGTGGAGAAGAGGAAATGTTGAAGGATTAGAAGCATTAATAAGTGTTAGCGTTTTTACTGCACTTTACCTCATATACTCCTACCCATGGTCTTAGCTTCTTCCACTTCGCATCATGAACTAATAGGAATAAGGCCCTTTGAACTTCCAGGGAAAAAAAGGATGCCATATAAAAACCACGTTATTTTCTTATTGTGATTTGTATGTAACAGGGAGCTTGGGTTTGGTTGAGCCATTAAAGAAAGAGATGAAGACATGTTCCCGTGTTCTTTTCACCTTTTGAAGGAGAAAACAGAAGAGCCCACAGGAATATCTCTAAATACAAAACCCTCACCGGTCTTTTCCATGATTCTAATGTTTTCTGAACATCTGCTTCCCATCTCCTGCCTCCTGTGTTGATGAAGATGAAATGGGAACCAGATTTGAGTCCCAGAACTCTCTAGGTTCATCATTCACACTGTTGCAAAGCAAATATTTTCCCTGTGCCACAGGTGTTATTTCCATGAAGCCCTGTTCTATTCTGATTTCCCCCATTTGCTTTCATAGTAAAGTAAATGTCTGTTGTCCTCAGCTGTTTATGGTTTTGATATATTCCACAGAAGTAAAGAGAGTAAGCCCCGTAAGGCCATGATACAAAGTAAGAATTTGACAGTCCAGAAGAGGAGTAATCCTGGGGGCCTCAGTAGTAAGCCCCAGATGTGCTCGCTCTCACCGTGTGCTGGTGTTTCAGCAGAAAACATGGGCTCTCCCCAGGATTTATTTTAGACTAAAGAAGAAGGATCTGAGTGCTCCAGAAGTCCCTGAGCCCATTTCAGACTCTTCTTTTTGGCTCTGCCACTGTCGATTAACCTCCCAGCCATAATCCCATCTTCACCTTTCCAAAGTCAGGCTGCCCTGAAGATGGGCTCTTGCTTCCAGCCTTGGGGCAGGTAATCTTATCCCTGGTGTATTGTAGCCCAGTGGGGAGAATAACAGTTGAGCGAGGCCACCCTCCTGTCCCCATCTGCTACTAGCTCACTTCTAGGACTCGGCCCCTATCACAGAAGCAATGATTTGGGGATATATTCTTCTGACTACAGAAGAAAATATTTCCTGACCCTGGGATTAATAGATTGACCTGATCCAAATTTTTATAAATCAACACATTTGCCCAGAGTTTTTAGCTATTTTTGCTTTAATAATATTAAAAGCCTGGAAAGTGCCCTACATTGGCACTCAGGTTTCCTGGCTTAACTTTGATTGTTAGTGAGTGGCTCATTTGCATATGAATGAAGAGATTCAGTAATCTTACAGAATGAAGAGATACCAGGACCATTTTCCTAGATGCATTTAAAGATGATTGTGGTATCAGAGAGAAAACTCTTTGCCATTTTCTAAACTAGAAAGCTTGTATGCCAAGTGCATAATATGAATTTCCTATTAGTTCATTTGTACAAGAAGTGCCCACCTACATATCAAATTGAGCCAGTTTCCATGTTAAAGTGGGATCAAATAAAATGACAATCTGCTTGCAAATTTTTATTTTATGAGTTAGAGTGAGCAAATATTCCATCCTGTCTTATTTACTCTTGGATTAGCTTCCAACTGGCACCCTGCACACCTTTACCCACTTCTCTGTCCTTTCATATCCTTTTCGTTTGTGCTCAGGAAACACAAAATATGAACATAAGCAAAACACCATTCAAGGAGAAGCATTTGTTGAAAATAACAAAAGAGCCATTATGAAATATATTCCAAAACTCAGTATAAATAGCAGAGTTCACCTTCCCCGGCAAGGGCAATTGATGTTTGATGATGTTTTAAATAGCAAGGTCAGTGAAAAAGCATTGGAAATTGACTTCTTTCACAAACTTTGAACCTTAGATGCTTAAAGCTGGAAAAAATTCTTGAAAGGCCCAAATGAGGCCACATCCCACTATAAAGTCCCCTACCACATGGGCAGCTTTCCTTGCTTCTGGAATTGTTCATACCATAAAATTCTGCTACAATTTACCACTGGCAGTCTGCTTTTATCACCTCTAGTCTCTTTAATAATGGAATTAATAGCCATGAAGAGTTATACTGATGACTTTCTTTCATAAGTAAAGGAACTTTAAAGAGGCTGGGTTTTTTTTTAAATAATCCTGAATTTTTCTTAAAGTGTTTTACAAATTCAAAGTAATATAACTTTTGCCCTAGCCAGTGTATCATTCACTTAAAGGTTAGCAACACTCATAAAAAGTTAAGTATAGTATTTTCCCTTAATTAGAGAATTCTTCAATGTGCAGTTCAACATAAAATCCTGACACATGGCACTGGTGTAGAAAGATGTTTGAGTGCTGGAATGTAGGCTTGAGTGATAGCTATTGCAAGTTTTAACTGTTCCTATTTCTAAGTATTTATGTAATCTTTGGGGGAGACTCTTGCATTTCACTCTCTTTTGCTATACCTGTGACACATCTGGTTGGAAATCGGACACGTAATGGATATTTTATAACAATATCACCCAGATGATGAAAGTAAAGTAACTGTGCTATAACTTAAAACAATGTAACATCTAAACCACCCAGCAAACTAGTTCTAGAAAGGAACTGATGCACAAATATCACCCAGTTATTTTGTGTGTGTGTGTAATTCATTCATTTGCATAGGTAAGCATCTTATTCAATGAATATGTTAAATAATTCTGTTCTCAGCATGAACACTCAGCAGGTGAGTGGACAGCTTGCTGAAGTATAAAGCAAAGCCTAAATTATGCATTTTACAAAAGGAATGTCACTTCTGCAGGTTAAATAACAAGTGGGACCTACTTAAAGCATCGATTAAAATAACTACATTACTAACCCCCGTCCAAAAAATCCCAAATAAATACATCTATTAATGTATATACTTTCAGTATGTCCTCTCAAATACTAGCTTACAGTAATGGCAATTGTTCACGTGTTTTTTAAAAAACATTTAATATAATCAACATCAGTGAGACCATATGCCAGTTTAAAAAAAAAAAAAAAAACTCGCCTAGTCTTAAAGGTAAAAATTTGACTGGTTTTAAACCTGTTTTCCTGACATATTTGAGTTTTTCCTTGGTGCTTAATATTTTCTCAATTCCTCAAACCCTCCATGTTAACTTTAGATAAAATCATTATTATGTACAAAGTATTTTTCAACCTATCTACATCCCTGAGTAGCTCACTATAGACTGTTGCTGTGGCAATAGGCAAGGAACTACAGAATTAGTGCCCTCAGTACTGTGGTGCTAATTTTTCAGTTTACCTTATTAATGATCCCATAAAGGCAGGTATAGGCTATTTTAGTCCCCTTTTGGAACTGGGAAGCCCCTCAGTTTTTCTGGTCTCTGTCTTTATTTTATTGGTAACTAATATCTAGAAATAAGAAAGCGATAAATGTTGAACATAAACATTTTCGTCTTTCCTTCCATCTTATAACCATGATAGTATCTGATACTTGATCTGATCATACAGTCTAGTATTCAAACTCTGCTAATATGTTTCTAATCTTAGCAATAAGCTAGTGACTTTCTACTTGATTTGCAGTTGGTGATTATACCTTACTATTGCTCCTTACCAACACTTCTCTCTAAGATATTCAAAAAGACCAAACTCAACAGGTTAAAATAGCCTTTAGTTGTATATTTGTAGAGTATTTAGAGATCATGCAAATCATGTTTTCATAAAGTAATGAATTGTCTGCCAAGGGGTATGTGCATGAGACATACACACACACACACACACACACACACACACACACACACACACACACCCACAGACAGAGTTGGTTTATTGGTGTCAAGACAGACTGATATTTAGGGATGATATTTGGGTTAAGTATTTAACTCCCTAGATTTGCTGTGGTTATACAGTTTCTAAATAGCCAAAGGTAAAAAGGGATATTCATAAGTCCTTTTCCACACAGTTCTGATTGAACCATCATTTTCACCTTAATATCTTAAGGAGCCAAATAAAGATGAAGATTGAAAAATAATATTTATCATTTAGTTAATCTTCTCATAATCCTGAATATGCAAACGAACGACCAAGAGGAGTGGCCCACATGTGCTCAGAGATCATTTGATCATTCTCATCTCCTTAGAATGCTGAGATACCAAAGTAAATCCTATTTCCATTTATTCAGTTACAGGTCAGAAGTAAAAGCAAGACAAGATGTGAAACCAGACATCCGACAGCCTCCATTCACAGACTACAGGCAGCCCCCACTGGACTACAGGCAGCCCCCAGGAGGGGACTACCAGCAACCCCCACCCTTGGACTACAGGCAGCCTCCCTTGCTGGACTACAGGCAGCACTCCCCCGACACCAGGCAGTACCCTCTGTCAGACTACAGGCAGCCCCAGGTACCTCAGTTCCTGATTTCATCACAGGCTGGGACCAATACTTCCTGAAGTGCAAACAGTGAAATAGAATGGGAGGCAGAGGAAAGAACACTCTTCTGAGAAAGATAGCCCAAGTTCTATTCTTAGTTATGATATCATCTGGGTAACACCCACATCCTCAAAACGCTCTGAATAAATAAATCTATTTCAGAATAAAGCAGGACAATCGATCAGTCAATAAGTGGGTGAGTAATAATGGAATGAACTAGTCCCTGCTAATATTTCCTAACTCCCAGTATATTACTTTGTCAGAGTTGAAAAATGCTCTCTTATCTGGGACCTCAGAGGGTGCTGCTAATGCAGAATATTTTACAGATGCCAGCAATGGAGGTATTTTAGACCCATGAGTATTTGCAAGCCCCGCTACCTCCTATTGGTAGTAAAAGACCAAGCCCCTATGCCTAAGGACAAGCCAGGCCTGGCTTCATTCCTGAGACTGTAACTTCTGTAACAAGCACCAAGTCCTTGTCTATACTACAGTCATTCTTATAATTATTTGTACATGTTAAATGCATCCCATGTTAATTTCCATAACCCCTCTGAGCTTCAGTTTCCTAAAGGAAAGTTCTTCCTTACAGGCTATGATGAGGATTCAATCTTTATGAAAAGTACCTAGACCAGAGCTTGATATCCAGTAAATATTCAATGCCTGGCAACTAGATACCAAGATACAAATTAAATACAATTTCAACTCTCTCAGACTACATTGTGTTTTATTTTGGATTAAAGATCACCCTTATCCTGCCAAAATGTTAAGAATAGTGAAGGTCAGGAAATTTTGGACGTATTACATTTTGTGTAAAAGAGAAATTGATTTTCTACACTCCAACTTTATATTCAGTAGTCTGCGCAGTAGAAAGTTGTAGTAAGATCCCATTCAATTTCATTTTCTAATCAGCAAATCTCTAATTTGCAGACACACACACGTACATGCACACACAGGACTGATACATTTATTTATGGTGCTCAACAGCAGTGAATGGGAAAACTCAAAGGAGAGAGAATATCACACAGGCCTATCTGCAATAATTACGTGTTTGCCGAGTAAACTGATGAACACCAAAGTAAACTAGCTACACAGTAGTTTCTCCAGTGACCAAGTAAACTGTGTTCTGATCTGCTCCAACTTTTGGAACTTTCTTTTGCATTTTGCTGGACTCTGAAGTCAGATTACTTCTCACAACACTATGTCATTTGAAACACACTATGTCAGAGAAAAGAACAGGACTGACCACAGAAGCTTCTTTGATAGTAAACAATTGTTTGTCCCATTCTCTCCCCGACTCCAAAGGATTTTGATTATTTCACTGTGGACATGGAGAAAGGAGCCAAAGGATTTGGATTCAGCATTCGTGGAGGAAGGGAATACAAAATGGATTTGTACGTGTTGAGATTGGCAGAAGATGGGCCAGCGATAAGGAATGGAAGGATGAGGGTAAGAAAAGTTCTTTTAATAGAATTGCTTAATTCTGAAGGAAGCGCATCGCGGCGTTAGGAGAGTGCTGACGCATGCTGTTAAACAAGTGGATGATGTAGGTTTTGCCTTCTTTCCATTTCATGAGCCAGTTTTCTAAAGGTTTGGCCAAATGTTACTTAAAAGTTAGATCATTCATTTTCCTGCTTATAGCCTTCTAATTGACAAGTCTCAATATAGTGTTTTACATATATAATTTCCCTAAAGAGCAAACTAAAAAAAATGGACAAAGTAATCTAAGAAATACCTAGAAACGAAAACATAGCTCCATATTTTTTTCCATGGTTTAATTTAATTTTCATTTGAGATTGAATCTTTTGAAATTTATTTTTAACTTTATGCTTTTTTTCCCCACATTTATTCACTAAATGGTTCTGTGCTTCTTGGGAATATTTTTTTGTGTTGACTGGTCTTTTGGTTTTGATATTGGGCAGCAGAAACAGTAAGAGAAAGGTGGACTAAGCTTCTTAGATACATGTCCTTAAAAATTATAGCAGTAAGAAATTTTCCAATTAAAATATAAATTGAGAGTATATTTTAAAATGTAATAGTTACTTTGAGGTGTCTGATTGATGGGTATCTGATTTTCATCTAAAGGTACAAAACAAAATTTGATAGTAATATAGAACATTAGTCTCTCCCTCCCTCTCTCCCCCCTCCTTCCTCCTCCCCTCCCTCTTCTTACTGTAAAATGGTGATTAGTAAGCATATAATAAAAGCTATTATTTTGAATAACATCTAGAATTCGTTCTTGCACCCTCCTTGCTCTTTTAGTTAATATAGAAAAGCCAGGATTCTTGAGTTCCAGAATCTCAGCTTCTTGTGCTGAGCCTCACCAACCAGCTTCTCCTGGACAATTAACTGAATCTGTTTTTCCTACCACCAAGTCTACCATTTCTATGATTCTCATTCCCACAGTGCAAAAGTAGAAAGTACATATATTGTGTCTGTTTTTCTCTCTTCCTTCACTATGCTTTTACAACTGGGAAGTATCCAAGTTGGAATGTGAATTCAGGCTAGCCTGACTGGAGAGGCTGATAGCTTCGACCCTGATCCAACACCAATGCCCTCTTCCCTGTCTACACACAGTTTTAGGATAGGCCTCCACATGATTTCTTTGCTCCCAGCTTCCCTGTAAACAGAATGGCACTTTCTTATCATGCTGCAAAGCCAACTCACAAGTAGTTAAATAAAACGAAATTAATCTTTGCAGTGCAGGTGAAAGCAACATAGCAGGAAGGCCATGAGTGAGCCAGACCAGAGCCTGTGAGGGAAGATAACCCCACCCCCACCCCCAGAGGACTTCAGAGGTGGCCTGTGTGGATTCCAAACAGTGGCCATAGTTTTGAACAAGTGGTCTAAATGGTTGGCTGCTCAATATATACAATACTCCCAAGTCATAGGAGCCTAAATC